AAGACATTGGTTAATAGAATGGGATTAAATACATAAAGGATATTTGTGTTGTTTAACATTTAATTATTGCAGGTTTGCGTTATATTCTGAGTTGCATTTTTTTTATTCCTTTTGAGGAATACTGAATCAGTTTTTTTATTTTGTGAGTGAGATAAATTAATGCATATTCATATTTATTTTAGAACTACAGTAGCATCTTCTGATTTCTCTCAACATGGGGACAGGAGAGCTGTCAATCAATAAATTGGAAAAAAAAGTAACTTGTGTTACTTATTTGAAAAAGTAAAAAACATGTGCAAAATATGATCGTGGTTTTGCGCAACTTGTCAGTGAACAACGGCTCTGTGTAGTAAATGCTGCTCCACGTGAAAGCACGCACGTGTAGAGATTTACCGCTGATTACAGAACCGGCTTTACTGACGAGATGCACATTAAATATTGTGCGATATTTATCGTGCAGCCCTACTTGTAATGCGTTACCCCCAACACTGGTCATCATTTACTCAACATTTACTGTTAATGGTCTCCACTGACCTCCATAGTATTTTTTTCTATACTGTGGAAGTCAAAAAGGACCATCAACTGTTGTTTACCCACATTCTTCAAAATTATTATGTATTCAGCAGAGGAAACAAACTCATACAGAATTTTCCTTTTTGGGTGAAGTGTATCCCTTTAAACTTGTTTTGCATATCGGGCATTTACCTGCATCCTCTGAGGCATGTGTGCCAGGCGTGATGTGAACATCAATCTAACAACAAAAAGAAAATAACAAATGACTTAGATGGGAATCCCAAAGCCTAATGTAAGCTTAAATGTGTTTGGCTGCTCACTAAAATGACCTTAAATCTGTCAGGAAGGGAGCGCAGAAGCTTGACTTTGATGGACAGGCCAATGAGTGTGGCCATACTGCAGTGTGGGATGGTCGGTGTGAACTCCACAGACACAGTGCTCTCCTCATCATTCACCTACTCAAAAACATGTTAGAAAGATAGAACAACAGACAGACAGACAGACCGACAGCTCAGACTCACATTGATGAGCATTTGTTCCACGACATTGAGCTCTTCGAGGGACAGTGGGTGCTCAGGGTCATTGATCGATCTGATCAGATGTATTCATTTAGTTAAGGTCCGACTCAAAAGATTCAAAATGCATTAAATGAGGCTTCTGAACTAACGCAGTTTGTAAGTGTAACTAACTGTCATTATCGCAGATAATTAACAGCAACAAGGCTGACATGTCAAAGTAGCAGTGTAGCTAAAGCCAAGTTTCGTGCTTTGAAAAGATATCGAAGATCTCCCTGTCATCGATGGGATCCGCTACATCCTCATCTTCATCAGTGGCAGTGAGGAGTCTTTCCCCCGATCGCTGAAATATCAGAGGATTGGCGTTTTCTAGGCGAGTTCCCCCTGACATTATTACCTCTTCAACGATAAAATTGTTATACAACTAACACAATACGATCAACACACTATTGTTAGATAAGGTTGCCAACGCTGCGAAGTCGAAAACAAGCTAGCCGGAAGTCAAGCTAAATAACGGAAACAGTATCCACTTTTTTTCAAAATAAAAGTTTTATTTATAAAAGTTAGATACAATGTTAATTTAAACGGCACAAATAATAATAATAATAATAATAATAACAATAATATCATTGTACAGAATAACCTCATGTATCAAAAAATAAAATGAAATAAATAAATGTCTTGAACTAAGAAGGGTGATAGTAATTTTATACAGCATAACATAAGCAATGGGAGAAAGCAAATATCTGTCTTCCCTTAATATTGTTCGTTTTTTAAGGTTAAGCGTATGCTTACACATCAAAGCAGTATTCATCAACCTTGAAAGCTTGACCTTGATTAAACAGTGAGGTCAGGTCCATTAGCGAGCCAATCAATGCTTATTACAGTTAAAAAGAGCATTTTAACCCAAATGTTAGGCATCTTTAAGCCATCACCAGGAAAACAACAGCAACTGCTTCCTTTACCAATCAGCATCGGACCAGCATGTATAGATCTTCAGTAAAGCCAAACAGCACACACGGCCTAGCAATCCTACAAACCAGTACAATTACAGTGATAGAGTTTAGAATAAATCTTCTTCATTGTGAGACAGCCAGCATTTCCTTGCACAATAATAAATACTTTTAGATTTAGTCCAAACAATACGAATGAAGTAGAATTTTTGCATTTGAAGATTTGTACTTCAGTATATGTATTTTAAATAATCATCCCTAGCAATCTATCAAAAAGCCAATACTCGTATTATGTTTGCTTACACACTCTTTATTGAATGTAGGCCTACTGTGCTCATTTGAATTATGTCCAATTATACAGTATAAGTGTTATGGCATTCTGAGATTAAAATAACTGCATTAGCTGACATAGAGAACTCATATGTTTGTATTTCACATTTGTCAGTTTGCTGTTTCATAGCATTCATAACATTTTCTTCATTCTTAGAAGCTCTAGCATTTTGAGAACGCAGTGTGTGCATTATTAAATTATAAATCACGTTAAACTAGCACAAATTTGGCCAGTACTTCAGTTCATAATGAGTCTCTTCCTGAGATGTTGAATCATCCACACAAAGGATTTATAGACAAAGAGATTATCAAGAGAGTCACATGTTATATTTAATGGACAAGTGCTTTTATTTCAGGCTCTTTTCCAACCAATGAGACTACAAATCTGGCAGCTCTACTCTGCGTTGGCCTGAAAGAGATCGCCATCCACCCGCTGGCAGCTTCTGTGAAGGTCAAAGGTTAATGGTATAGGGTGAAAATTAACAAAGCAATTTATTCATGTGCCACAACCCCTGTCTTCTTTCCAGGAGGACATTTTAGCCTTTCTAAACTCACAGATGTGCTGGTATTGATCAAGGTCTGTTGGGTGAAATGTTAGTACAGCAATGCTTTCCCACATATTTGCAGGATATGCACATTTCTTTCACGTGGAGCAGCATTTACTACACAGAGCCGTTGTTCACTGACAAGCTGCGCAAAACATGTGCAAAATATGATCGTGGTTTTGCGCAACTTGTCAGTGAACAACGGCTCTGTGTAGTAAATGCTGCTCCACGTGAAAGCACGCACGTGTAGAGATTTACCGCTGATTACAGAACCGGCTTTACTGACGAGATGCACATTAAATATTGTGCGATATTTATCGTGCAGCCCTACTTGTAATGCGTTACCCCCAACACTGGTCATCATTTACTCAACATTTACTGTTAATGGTCTCCACTGACCTCCATAGTATTTTTTTCTATACTGTGGAAGTCAAAAAGGACCATCAACTGTTGTTTACCCACATTCTTCAAAATTATTATGTATTCAGCAGAGGAAACAAACTCATACAGAATTTTCCTTTTTGGGTGAAGTGTATCCCTTTAAACTTGTTTTGCATATCGGGCATTTACCTGCATCCTCTGAGGCATGTGTGCCAGGCGTGATGTGAACATCAATCTAACAACAAAAAGAAAATAACAAATGACTTAGATGGGAATCCCAAAGCCTAATGTAAGCTTAAATGTGTTTGGCTGCTCACTAAAATGACCTTAAATCTGTCAGGAAGGGAGCGCAGAAGCTTGACTTTGATGGACAGGCCAATGAGTGTGGCCATACTGCAGTGTGGGATGGTCGGTGTGAACTCCACAGACACAGTGCTCTCCTCATCATTCACCTACTCAAAAACATGTTAGAAAGATAGAACAACAGACAGACAGACAGACCGACAGCTCAGACTCACATTGATGAGCATTTGTTCCACGACATTGAGCTCTTCGAGGGACAGTGGGTGCTCAGGGTCACTGATCGATCTGATCAGATGTAAAGATGTTAAGGTCTGACTCAAACCATTCAAAAAGCATTAACGTAAATGAGGCTTCTGACTGAGTTAACGCAGTTTGTAATTGTAAGTACAACTGTCATTATCGCAAATAATTTACAGCAACAAGGCTGACATGTCAAAGTAGTTAGTTTCGTGCTTTGAAAGGATATCGAAGATCTCCGTCATCGATGGGATCCGCTACATCCTCATCTTCATCAGTGGCAGTCAGGAGTCTTTCCCCCGATCGCTGAAATATCAGAGGATTGGCGTTTTCTAGTCGAGTTCCTTCTGACATTATTACCTCCTCAACGATAAAATTATAATACAAATGACACACTACGATCAATACACTATACTGTTAGATAACGTAGCTAACTCTGCGAAGTCGAAAACAAGCAAGCAGGAAGTCAAGTTAAAAAACAGAAACAGTATACGCTTTTTTTTTTTCAAAATAAAAGTTGTATTGATAAAAGTCAGATACAATGCTTATTTAAACAACACATAGAACAACAACAACAACGACGACAATAATAATAATAATTATAATAATACTGATAATAATAATAATAATAATAATAATGTCATTGTACAGAATAACCTCATGTATCAAAAAAAAGTCTTGCGAGGGTTGATACAGGAGAAAAGCTCTTTCTTCCTTTAAAATAGTTAGGTTTTTTAAAGCATACACATCAAAGCAGTGTTCATCAACTTTGAAAGCTTGACCTTGATTAAACAGTGAGGTCAGGCTAATAGTGAGCCAATCAATGCTTATTACAGTTAATAAAGAGCATTTTAACCCAAATGCTAGGCATCTTTAAGCCATCACCAGGAAAACAACAGATACTTGCTTTCTTTCAATAACCAATCGGCATCAGAAACTCAGAATGTAGATCTTCAGTAAAACCAAACAGCACACAAAGCCTTGCAGTCCATTGACAGAGTTTAGTATAAATCTTCTTTATTGTGAGACAAACAGCATTTCCTTGCACAATACTAAATACTAGATATAGTCCAACAATATGAATAAAGTTTATTTTTTTATATATTTGAAGATTTGTACGTCAAACATATTTTTGTACTATATGTAGGCTACTATATTTGTACTTCAAATATATTTTAACCCTTAAATGCATACCTCGGGTCTTAAGCGACCCGGGACATCATTCTCTACCCTCTCCCTCCTTCATTTTTTTTTAAAGTTAGACATCAATCTGTAATTGTTCTTAAAATATCAAGAGAGTTTTTTGCTATTGCAGCAGTTAGAGATCCATCCGTGCTGTAGCTATATATAGGTCCGGGTAGCTAAAGACCCCTTAAATGTAATAATGACTGGCGAAACATTCATGCATTTAAGGGTTAACGAATCATCCCTAGCAGTCTATTGAAAAAGCAAGACTTTGATTATGTTTGCTTACACTACTTATTAAATGTACTGTGCTCATTTAAACTGTGTTCTATTACACAGTAGGCTATATATAAAACCAGTGATTAAAATAACTGCATATACAGCAGCTGCCATAGAGAATGTTAGTATTTCACATTTGCTGTGTTTCTTACAAGCTATAGCTTCTTAATATGAGTTTGCTGTTTTATAACATTCATAACATTTTCTTTATTCTTAGAAACTCTGGCATTTTGAGAATGCAATGTGTGCATTATCAAATTATAGATCACGTTAAACTAGCACAAATTTGGCCACTACTTCAGTTCATAATGAGTCTCTTCCTGAGATGCTGAATCATCCACACAAAGGATTTATAGACAGAGATTAACAAGAGTCACATGTTATATTTAATGGACAAGTTCTTTTATTTCAGGCTCTTTTCCAAAGAATGAGGCTATAAATCTGGCTGCACCGCTCTGCATTGGTCTGTAAAGAGATTGCCATTCACCTGCTGACAGCTTCTGTGTGGATCTGTCAAGGTCAAAGGTTAACACTGTAAGGTGCACATTAACAAAGGAATTTATTCATGAGCCACAACCCCTGTCTTCTTTCCAGGAGGACATTTTTACATTTCAAAATTCACAGAGGTGCTGGTATTGATCAAAGCCTGTTGGGTGAAATGTTAGCAATGCTGTCCCACATATTTGAATGATGTGCACATTTGTTAATATTTTCATTAGAACTGCACTTATTTCCATCGTTCCCACTGCCACTACTTCAAAAATCCGACATCAAAATGAAAATCCTCACAATATTTATAAATGCTCTGATCTGGTTTTCAGGACCTGACTTTAAATATTCCAACCAAATAAAGAAGTTAAAATAACTTATGACTCTGAGATGCTCCCACTTGTCTCAAAAGCATTACTGAATTTATATCTACACATTTCCATTAAAGTCCCAATTGCTGTCAGTGCTGTCCATTCTCTGCTATTTAATATAACTCTCATGTGGAGTGAGAACAGACCTTTCTGCTGGTATAGTTTTCAGAGACAGGATATAATCTAATGTCAAGTGGAAAACTTTGACTAGCGGTTTGATGGATAGATAGAGAAGAGGAGGTTGCATAACCTCGATACATTATATATAATGAGAAAACCTGTTTATGGCCATTGTACAGACATTTTGCATAAAGAAAAATGGTATATCAAATAATTCTGTTATAACATAGTTTAGAATTATCTTTATACAAAGTTTGGTAAAAAAAAAAAAAAATCCTGAAAACTAAAAATGTATTGGTGATTTTAAAAAAATCAATTGTTTTTGCCTATGCATGTTTATT